CCTGCAGCATCTGGCCGAAGGTAGACAGGAGGAGCTTGATATTGGTCAGTCAAAGTAGATACCCGTCCTTGTCTCCTTCTCCGCTTGGGCTGATGTCCAGCTGGTTTTGAAGAGGCAGGCCTCGTGGGAAAAGCATCATGGCAAAGTGCCAGGGATTCCTCAAAAACAGTTCGCTCCAAATGAGCTTGTTGCACAGCACATTCCAAAACCATTTGATCAAGTTGACGCGGCCATTCGGCAGCTTGTCCTGTTCGAGGACCAAACTTGTTGCTTCCTTCAAGTGGCTGATGTTGAAAACAATTGCACTTGCTGTTGGAAAACATGGCTTCTGCGGTCAAAAGGGTCGTGAGGTAGAAGCTGGGCTTGTGGTGCGGCAGGCCGCTTTCTCGATCTTTGTAGCCAACCTGACAGCCATCAACCTTGAGCGCGAGGAGAGAGCCATCTTCTATCAGCTTTCGGGTCTCCTCAAATTCAGGCTCTTCTATGCTGTCAGAACCGTAGGGTTGCTCTACAAAAACATGCCTCTTGGCCTTGACACGGTCCACAATGGTCCGGTTCACCAGCTTCAAGAGAGGTCTTCACTCCTCACGCAGTGACAACACGGTGGCTTCTGCTGGGCCACCTTTGGACATGTTGAACCTTGACCAGTTTCCCCAGGGACCGCACGGATGAGTGATGACCGTGAGGTAGGGATCCTCAGACTTCATGTCGCTGTGGAGCCTGGTCTTGCCGGCACGTGTGGTTGCATCCCATGTTGAACTGGAAGAATCAAGCGGAACCCCTACCATCATGCCATAGAGCACCGCCATGATTGTCAAACCCATTTGGCCGGCAAACAACTGCTTGATCCAGACCTTGCCTGTGGGCGGCTTGTAGTTGATCTTGTGGTGATGCCGTCCTTGAAGCTTTCTGGTCTGCGTCAGATCTTGGGAATCCAGCAGGTTCATCATAGTTGAAGGTTTCTTGCCCTTCCGGTTGGTCGTCTTGCGGACGACAAAGAAGCCATCATTGACGAGGGACTCAAAGGTGTCCTCGTCTTCACAGACATAGGCATCATCATCGCTGGGAGACCATCCAGCAGTGGGGGCCAGAAACTCCAAGGCCTCAATTGTGGTCATGTCTTCCAAAACGTTGAAGGCGTCACCAGGTTGATGACCATCAGTGCTAGATGCTGCATCGCTTGGAAGCTCATATGCCCAGTCTGGCCAATCTTGTGGCTCTGCAGCGGTCTCTTGCAAGGCAACCTCTTCTCGGCGTGAAAGTCCATTGCCGGATAAGTCCAAAGAGGTTGGAGCTTGGCCGGGCTCCGTGGGCTTCAAGTGAAAACACTCACGAAAATCCAACTTGGGATCATTGCCGAAGTCCAAAAGGCTGACCGCCATGTGGCCACGGGCCGTCTTGGTGAGAGGCAAATCCAAAACGCCAAGCTCTTTGAAGGAGACGGTGCTGTCCGCCAGATTGATGACAGTGCCAAGTTTCTGCATGAAAGGGCGCGAGAGCAGGAGGGGTGTGGAACCCGAAACTTCTGCTGACTGCATCTCGCCATGGGCACCGCCAATTCCTACCGGAAAGGTCTTCAAAACTGTTGAAACGGTTTCTCCACCAATGCCTCGAAAGCGCTGCAGCTTGTGCTCAGAGCTTGACTGAAGCTGGTTGTCGGCCAAAGCGGCCTCAAAAGCGCTGGACCATGAACTGCCATGCATTGTCCTGGTGCAACCAGAATCCAAAATTGCAAGTCCAGCTTGGTCAAGCTCGGTCAGGGCATAGTTGGTGGTGACATCGATCAGCTCCTGCTCATCTTCAACCATCATGACATCGCAGTAGTGCACTGCAACATGACTCACATCTTCAGCATGGTGGTATTGCAAAGGAACCTGGATACATCTTGAGGTTTCCATCTGTCCAGGATCTTGAGTTCTTTTTCCAAGAAGTTGAGCAGGGTCAGCGTTCGTTGACTTCATCAATCGCATTGCAGCCATGGTGACAAGTCGAAAACGACCATACAGGTAAAAGGCAAACCTGTAGACCTCTGGGGCCATGGGCCGATTGTGGAGCGCCATCTCCATCACCTGGACGGTGTAGGTCAAAAACGCCATCTCCATCACCTGGACGGTGTAGGTCAAAAACTCGAGAGTTGGATATGAGGCCACCTCCACAAAAGTGCGACCCTGAAATGGGCCTTCCGCAAAAACAGTCATGTCACCAGGCAAGGGCTGCAAAATGTGAAGTTCTCCTTGTGGAAGTTCAGGAAATTGTGGAAGGTCTTCAAAAGGGTCGACCTTCACGCCATACAGCCATACTGCAACGTGATCACCGCGGACAATCTTGGCAACCATTGGACGACCTGTGGTTGAAGAGGTCGCTTCCGAGGGTGATGCGGATGAAAGCAAATCCCACCCCTCAGGTGCCGTGTATCCGGCTGCTCTCAAAGGAATTGAAGGTGCCGTAGGGGTCCGCAAGGGCAAAGAGCTCCTCAATGACGCAGCTTGGCTCTCCGCATGTTCCAATGTGAGGCGGGCCACATTCCTGGCCAGCTCACTTGAGCGGGCAAAGCTGCCCCACTTGGTGCACATGGCAAGCTGCACCAAATAGGACCAAAGCTGTGTCGGATCCTTTCGGCGGGCTGTGATCACATTCTTCTCGCAGTCTTTGCACGTAATGTGCCTGGTGTGGCCATTTGCACCTCGGTGGAACTGTCGTTCTTGGCCACCTCGGTAGACAGAGTGTTCACAAAGCGCAGGGGCACGTAGGGCCATCAGTACTTCATGGCATTGCAAGGTATCGGTGAAACTTTTGCTCAGACTCAAGGTGCTCTCACCATAGGTCTCGGCAGTGTTGTTGAGCTCGGGCGCAGAGGTCTTGCCATAGGTCTCGTCAATCACAGAGACACCCTCAGGAGGCAGGACATTCTCAGGAGTGTGCTCATATTCAAAAACCTTGACATTCGCTGGGACTACGTTATTCGCATGGGACATGTCATATGCAAGGGCCATGTCATTCTCAAGGGTCATGTCGTTCCGTGGCATGTGCTCATCAACAGGGGGCAAGGCAAACGCAGGGGCCATGTCATACTTCATCATGAAGCGAGCCTCATTCGCATCGTCAGACTCAATCTTGTCGTGCAAAACGAACAAAACAGAGCCCGGCTTCTTCACAACCTTCGGAGGCTGTTTCTTCTGAGGTGTGGATTGAGGCTTGTTGCCCTTGGACTTGCCACCTTTGCCAAAACCCTTCTTCGAAGCAAGGGGACAAACAGAGTCACCTACCCAGTGACCTTTCTGGTTGCATGCAGTGCACTGGGTGACAGACTTCAAAAACGAAACTGCTGCACGGCGCTGGTCCTTTGACTTCTGGTCCAGCGTCAAATCACCATGAGCCTTGAAGCCAAAGGTCTGAGAGGAGCCAGAAGAGTTCTGCTGGGGCCGCTTCACGAACTTCTTCTTGAAGTTTCCGCGGTGCTGAGCTATGGTCGCAAAGGCCTCAGCAACTGACTCATCCTCCCATTCTTCTTCAGGGATGTCGTTCATCAAGGCTTCCAGGGCCTCATCATCGGAGTATGCAGCGAAGACATCATCGTCGTCTTCGAAATTCTCTGTGCCCTCCTCCGCAAAAACTTCGTCCTCGACATGGACCTCGTCATCTTCCATCTCAGCGGCAAAGACTTGTCGCTTGGGATAGCCTTTCCACCTCGGTCGAAGGGATGGCTGATGGCTGGAACGTCCAGCTCCCAAGTAATCCTTCCGCTGCACAGGTCGTGTTTGAGCCAAGGTCGGATACTGAATCCGCAATGCCTGAGACACCTTCTTGTAGTTGAACTCGTTGCCAACCGAAGCCAAAACGCTCTGCTGCTCCTTGATGTCAAGGCCTGCAAAGATCAGCAGAAGCATGCACTTCAGGTTGTCTGACAAGGCAGTCTCAGAATTGGCCTCCTTCAGGCGGGTGAAGGCCAACTCACGTCTCACGATGTACTGCGCCATCGTCTCTTGGTTCTTTCTCCAGACCTGTGGGCTGTAGAAGTACTCAAGGAACAGCTCCTGAGCTCGGACTGGGGCTTCTTGCGCCAAGCTGTCCTTCAGGGTATTCAGAAGGAGTTGCATGCCCTCATCTGTCGCTTTGCCCTCAGCTGTCTTCGTTCGAAGCTTCGTATGCTCTATGCGGCGCACGGCCTCATAGGCAGTGCCTGACAGTTGAGCACGCAAGTGCAAAGGCGTAGCTATTTGCAGGGCATCTTGTCCTTCCCTACCGTAGTAGAGGTCCCAACATCTATCTATGTATTCTTCCAGCAACTCTGCTTCACCTGCAAACTGTGGAACACCATATCGGTCTGTGTCCAACTTACTATCTGCAGCTGATGCCATAGAGCTCATCAGTCACGTGGTGCAATTCCAAGCTAGGGACTAGAGTCAACCGTTCAGCCAGAAATCGTGTAGGCCAGATCACCTTAGATCGAAGCCAGCAGCAACGGAGCGCGCAGCAAGGTAGCGCCAAGCTACCAAGAAGCGTCTGCCCAAGTTAATGGGCTCCGCTTACCATCAAAAGCTGCACAACAGCGTGGCGAAGGTCTTTTCCTTAGCTCGTAAGGGCGCCCTCGTGCCCAAATGTCGCGGCATTCGAGTGAACCTGGAGCAACAGGAGGCAATCTGAGGATGCATGATTTTCATATTATATCATCCTGGGGATCCTAAAGATGCACCATAAGTGCATCAAAGCAGTGCTTGATTCGAACGCTGCTTCACTTCACCTTCAATTGGATCGTCAGCCACCCAAATCTCATCACTTACCCGTGACTTAAATCGGAAAAAACTATGGGGAGATGAATGGAAAAGTTTTACTTTAGCGGCTTTTCCAGACATGAAGCCAGTGGGAAAATTTCAACCTCAGCTATCTCTTTTTTCAACCAGACCTTCCCATGCTTTTTGGTCAAGAGCTGTGCATGGCATCCAGAAAGGACAGCGCGGATTTTGATCGCAGACGCGGCGAATTCTCATGCCATGCAGGGACTACTCCAACAACACTTGGGCCTCGGTGACGACGAGCGGTGACGACTCGGTGACGAGGAAGTCGATGGAAATGTGATGGAAATGATGAAATTCCCTATGTCTCAAGGGTAATCACGCAATGGAAACAATTGCGTACCATGCAATGTGATGATGTAATGTCACGTCTCATGGAATGTAGTGGTAGTGGTAATGCAATGCATTGTAGTTTTGGTATGGCATGTAGAATGATTTTTCCCACCAGTCCTGCCAGTTCTTGCCCAGTATCCACCCGGTTGAAGCGACGAAGGCCATCAACAGCGATCTTGCTATTCTCAAGCCTCAAAGATCTGGCACATATGAAAGTCGCTGGGGATAATTTTGGAGGCCTAAAATATCCCCAAGTCACCATGGGTTTCAACACTAACATTGTCTAGTTGTTGGATGATTAAGGGGGGGCGTTTTAGGAAATCCCCATTTTGGGAAGCAGATTGGGAAAATAAGAGATCCTTGAAAACACAAGACACGTGAGTTTGTAGTTCAGAAACCCCGCAGCTAACTTGCAGCTAACTACCAGATAAGTTGCAGCCAACTCAATGCTACCTAGCAGCTAACTTGCAGTTTCCTGGCAGCTAACTTGCAGCCAACTAACAGTGACAGCTAGGTAGCAGGTAACTTGCTGCTACACCTAGCTCCTACAAGTAACTTGCAGCCAACTAGCCAGCTAAGTTGCAGTTACCTAGCAGCTACCTAGCAGGTCATTTCCAGCTACCTAGAAGGTAACTTGCAGCTACCTAGCAGCAACTTGCAGCTACCTAGCAGCTAACTTGCAGCTAACCAACAGCTGACTTGCAGCCAACTAGCAGCTAGCTGGCAGTTAATTGACAGAGCTAACCAGCGACAAGAAGACAAATTCACTAGAATACAAAGCCAAAGTCAAAGACAGAGACAGGAACAACAACCAATGACGATGTCCTTAAGTGGGAAAATATGTTGGGTCCGATGTGTTACTCCATTTGTCTGCATGTGCCATCATTCCCTTGAATGGTTGCAATAAAATCAGAGTAACACCTACTGTATCTTCATCAACTACACCTATGGGGAAAGGACATTTCTGATGACAGTGCTGAGCTATGGACGTACAGAGGCCATTTCCACGAAGGTCCAGAAGAGCTAAACCTTGCAATGAGAATTATGTTGCAACAGCGGATACACACTTCTATGTACAAAACATGTGTATTCATGTTCATATTCATATATATATATGATCCAAGCAAGTGGGATATACCTAGACCAATGAAGATGCCACTATCTCACCATCTCACCGTGTGCAGAAAAGGTGCTCTTGTTGGACACCATCGCCGAAATGATCTGTGAAAATCCTGGCGTTGGGACCAAAATATCCCGGGAACTTTAAGGGATAATTTAGCAAGGTTTCCCCTAAAATTCAAAGGAACAATCTGAGAATTTCGGAAGGAATTTAGGAAAATTCGAAATTCTGGGATTTGGGGAAAAAGGGCACAATAAGATTACTGTTAACCATCATCTTCCCATGAAATGGCCATAAAGGGCACATACGCCATTTTCAGACACACTCAGATATCATACTGGTCATATATCCCATTGTATCCCTATCAAAAATCTCTACTATAGCCGCTATAGCCTCCATCAGTGATGCCAATGTTGCGAAGGCGCAAGACCTCGAGGTTCGGGCATGACGTCACCATTCGGCATTGGAAAAATATGGGCGTCAATTTGAGACGAATCGGGTGTTTTGATATGTTCTTATCCCACCAAAAAATTGGGAATCTATAGAATCCTCTATTAATGGCTATAGAAATCTCTAAATCTCTATGAATGGATCGATTCTTCCCATCCCCCCTATTGGTTCCCCATGTTCTGACCATGATGAGCTCCCCCAGTGACTTGAACCGTAGCCATCTGCAGACGGTGGGGCGAAAAAATTGAAAAGTGAGGTAAAATGTGGCTAAAACACACCCATTTTTCAGGTCAGGATACCATGTATGTATCCATATATATATATATATATATGTGTATACATATATATATATATATGTATTTATATTTATACTGTATATATACATATATACATAATAGGGAGATATATTAGATAGATAGATACATGTGTATAGGCTTAAGTACTGTAGCACTTCACCCCTTCGCACTTCGTCCAAGCAGCCAGGACTTTGGACGACAGCCGTAGCAGGGACGCCAGCGCCACAGTGCCGGCGTCGCCCAGGTCGTTGCCTCGAAAAACCGGTGAAAACCGGGAGATCATGGCGGGAACCATCGGGGAAACATATAGGAAAAGGGGGAAACCATGGAAAATCGAGGCTTAGTATGGCTTAGTAACCTTTCTTCATAGAAAATCGAGGGTTAACACTTTTTTACACGGGGGTAACGGGGTAACTCATGAAAATAGAGGAGGGTTTAAAAAATCATGAATGAAGGTTTTGTGGGGATATCATATGGCATATACTATGGTGATCTATGGGCTATGGGATATACCAAGAAATACCATGTGGAATCATCGGATTGAGGATCGCGATTTCTTGATGTAGCCGCGTTTTGAGCCATGATTTTGGCCATTTTTTGAGTACTAATGAGTTGAGGGCCCCCCGTTCCCAGGATAAAGATGAACCAGGATGGTAGTTGCATGATGTTTCCTCCATCATTGAGAGATCTTCAACCTTTTTAGCATCGGCCGATTTGGAGGGGTTGCCGCCTTGGTCTGTCTCATCTAGTTGTCAAAAATCATGAGATCATAGCAATGTCAAAAAAAAAGACACACATTCTGCACTGTGAGGCCTCAGTCAGGTCCCAACTGCACGCAGAAACTTGGCTTCAAGAACCAGGTGGCTGAACGCTTTTCTTGGGTCAAATTTGCCACGAAATTTCTTCAGTACATGTCCGGAATGTGGTAAACCCAATGGCAGCCATTTCTGGTGATACTGGGGATGGTTTGTTATCGGTTATATGGAGGTTTCCTCAAATAGGAGTACCCCTGTTCATCATCCATTTTTATAGGATTTCCCTTATAAACCATCCAGCTATGGGGTACCCCCATGACAATGGAAACCCCCACATCTCATTGCTCATTGCTGGCATAGCCACACCACATCACCACGGACTGAGGTGGACACCATCCAGGACCAACTCTTCAATAGCACAGCCATCGCCTGCGAAGTGTAAACTACTGTAACCACGTAAAACCACCCCGAACTCGGGCTGAAAATATGGTTCAAAGACATGAAATCACACCACTTAAGTTTGGTTGAAATGTCTACTTCAAGGATATTTCAGTGGCTGGTAACTGGTATTTCCCCATCTCCACAGAAACTCTGGGGGATCTCCTCGATGTTCGAGGTCCAAGACAACCTGCCGCGTCAATCGGAAGAGTTTGTCGCTTCAGAAGCACCAAACCAGGCCTAGTCTATGAGAATGTTTAGCATCGACCCAGACTTTGACAATTTCATTGGTATATACGTGTATACTATATATATATATAGTTATGTGTCAATATATATATATATATATATCATTATTATCATTATTATTATTGTTATTATTATTATTATTTTATTATTATTATTATTTATTATTATTATTGTTATTATTATTATCATTATTATTATTAAATATTGATGTTTAGATGTCCTTCTTTTTTTGTTGCGGTGATTGATTTTGAGTCAATGGGCTACTGCCAGCTAGCAAAATTGGGTCATGAACGTTCCAAGTAGGGGGTAGTATGTACCACTTAAACAGATGTTTATTGAATAGTTGCAATAGTGGTAGGTAAAACCTAGACCTGAGAGACTACGTTTGTACCTGACTTCAGCGCTTGGGAGAAACTTTCATGGGAAGACAAGGCGAAAATGAGTGAATTTACAGTGAATTTGGAGTAAACACACTGAATTTACAGCAAGTTTCCGAAGTTGATGTCAAGTCAGGATCATGATCAATAAAACTCCGACAAAGCTTGAGGTGGGTAGCGTTCGCAGAAAAATATTCCCCACCCATCCTCCTCCTGAAAGAATTCAGAAAGTCGCTCCGAAGTCAGTGTTTTTTGCCAACAAAACTCTGGGTTTCAAGATGTTTCAACCTGCTCAGTTGGAAATCCAACAGACTTAAGGGATTTCGCCCAGGGTGTTGTCAAAATGACCTGTCCATTAGTTTCAAAGTGTTCCAAAGAACTCTGACCCAGCATAAAGTGATGGCGCTGAATCGCTATTGACTCACAAAATTGAAGGCTTTACCACGGCAAGATTGCCATGGTGAGCCCCCCGCCCATGTTGAGCCATGGAAGTTCCCGCCTTTTGGAGAAGATCAAGAGCAGTGGCATGAAGTCCACAATCGCTCAGGTCTAGCCGGCTGATGCAGTTGGGAGATGTCTTTGCCTGGCGGACTGCGACTGCGGCCTCGTTCGGTGAACCAAATTGGGCCTATCTCCACCTGGCTGCAATTTTTTCTGGATTTTGACCGAACTCGGCGCATTAAACAACACCACAGCTTGAACCCTTCCAGCCCTAAATGCAAAGCCAACGGCGGTTCCCTCTGGGCATTTTTTGGAAAAAACAACGGGGGCACTGTTTGGTGGTTGAGACACCCCAATAGTGATGTCTATTGATCAAAAATTGAACTCAAACGTAGTTGAAACGACCAGATAGCTATGGTGGCAATGATATTCTCGAAATCACCAAACTATTCACATTCAACTACTATTTTTCGACCAAATCAGCGCACAGTTTCCACGTCATTTTTCTCAGCCGGTGGTGTCCGCAGCATCTTCACGTTCGCCGGCAGATTCCACGTCTGCTTCCTCCGGATGGAGCATCTTTCGTCCAGGAACGCAACGTTCACAGGTGCCCCGCCAGTCGCGACTGAGCTGATGGTCCAAGATCATGTTCAGGACATGGTTCACCTGAGCCATAAACAAAGTTCCCCCCAAAAAAAAGAAACAAATAATCCATGAAATACTTGTTTTCGACGTTTCCCTACGATGGGTTAGTTTATAATCCCCCTATATGTTCTATGATAATCAATCAACCAGGGTATTTTTTATAGTTCACCTGACATGGTTCACCAATTCTATCCGGGTAGATACCCATAATACCTTGCAAATAAGAAGTCATGGATCCAAGTTCAGAAGTTCTGAGGGTCCTAGATGTTCATCGATTCCTATCTATATATGTAACCATATATATATAATAATGTGTATATATATATATATAAATGTGTGTGTGCACATATCTTCTCACACAATTGTATATACTATTTGTAATTTAGATTTGTAGACATCCACTGTTTATATTAAAAGATCATATTGATATATGATATATGTATACAATTACATATATATATACATGTTTATATCCAAAAGGTTCCAAAAGGCTACTACACCTTGAGGCATTCCCCATTTGACCACTTAGACACAAGCTGGGTGAAAATCATCTTCTTCCCCAACGATGTCAATTTTTCTTGCGGCCAAAAAATGACCTACTGCATACTTATCCCAAAAAAAATAGAAGTTGGTAAATCCCCACCAAAATGTTGCAAAGATTCTCTTTTTGCTTTTCTTTGGGGGTTTCTTTTTCAATCTCTGTGAACCAAAGTAACCAAAGGTCCAATTTCTCACCATCCCATCCCCATCATTTTCCCGTCGGCACCGTGAGCACTCGGCTGTAGTTGCCCATGTCAATGTAATCGGCCAACGGTAAATGTGCAGATCGGATGCCCTGCTCGCGAGCTTTCGCTATGGTGCAGCCTTTATGGCGATTTCGATCTACCTGCGGCTGCAATCCCCCGGAAGTCTCCAGCGATCTCACGATCTCACCCTGATCAACATGTCTTTCTGGAGGAAACTTGCAGAAATGTCTAGCCGCCTAGCCATGTCTAGAGTTAGACGAGTTAGACGATCAACCCCGAAGTGCGGGGCTCTTTGATCTTTCACTATTGATGACCTGTCGTCCCTCTGACCCAAGGTTTTCGTTGTCCTGGCAACTCTCAACAACATCTCTCAAACAGAAAAAGGGTGACTCTGACCAGAGTAAAAAGTCATCAAATTCAGTTTCAAGGTTGGTAATAAGCATAGAAAATATGATCAATGAATATCAAAAAATTGGTTTCTAGAAATCTTTGCCATGAAATGTTGCTCAGCAAACGATTTAGCAACAATTCCACCAATGACATAGACCATCTCCGGTTCAAAGCTTTCAAGCTTTTCTTCAGCATCTGCAGTGAGATAGATCAACTTCTCCTGGAAAGTCTTCATGAAAATGACTGACTGTGGTCGGTGACCGATCAAAATCATGAAAGAAATACTGGCCGCAACATTCTTTCTAGTCATTCACAAAGGTGGTTTTTCCAGCTGTTGACCAACATTCTCCTTGGGAAAAGCTTCAATGTACTTGGTGGTCAACTTTTTCACCTCCCATGACTCGTATCCGGACTGCTTGCTGAGCCCCTCGTGGGTTTTGCTGCCTCAGCCACCAAGTTGCCACAAAAAAACATCAGATCTGTGGTGGATTGAGAGTTTCCGAAGATCAAAATTGCAGATGCTTTCTACGATTTTGCTGTAGCTATGGAAAGTCTTAAGATACTCAAAGGATCTCAGAAGGTGAGATACTGTTGATGTTTTGAGACGTTGAAACTCCTGCAGATTCTGTAAAAGATCCACCAAACAAAGGACCAAAAACTCAGCCCGCTGGGTCGCCCACCTTCCTCCACTCCGGAGAAGCAAAGCTGCACCGGTTGCTGGGCCCGTCGGTTGGCGCCATAGCAGTATAGCAGCTGTTGAATCAAACTTTTCCTGGACCGACACAGAAACGATCTTCAGAAAATAGCTATGTTAATTAATATTACCCTCTGGTTATTTAACATAGCCATGGGAAAAGGCCCATTTATAGAGGCCTAGAAAAAATAATTAATTAATATTACCCTCTGGTTATGACTAACATAGCCATGGTATAGATGGCCCATAGAAATAGATGGTTTACCCATTAAAAAATGTGATTTTCCATGGCTATGTTAAATAACCAGATGGTAAATATGAGTTGGGCTGGGCTTTTTCATGGCTGATATCAAAGTTGAACAATAAAAATCAGCAAAAATATAGAAAAATCAACTGCTAAAAGCACCAACCAGCTGCAGTTCCTTTGGTTGCATCATCTCTTCCCACTCCTTGGGATATGGGATGAAACCCGGTAGCCGTTGAGACAACCCTTACCAAACAGCTGAGATAGGCACAGCACAACTCAATGAAAACCAGAAATGGTACAAAACTCAAAGTGTCACAATCTCCACCTTCAATACCCGAAAAAAATCAGGAAAATCCTGAATGCAAAACCGCCTCTAGTCAAACGTAAGTGTGCATTAGCAAAATGATGCGTGCCTGAAATGCCACGCCCTTCACACCTGACCACAAAATAAGAAATATGCAAAAAAAAACATCAAAACGCATCAAAACACATCAAGTTGAAGGGTCTAAATCCACCACCACGGTGGCCCCTTTCGCTGCGCGTGCGCGAAAATCCTCCAGCTCCGCTGTCTTTCGGGCCGCTCGGGCAGCCTTGATCTCAGCTTCACTGGCATTGGGATCCAATGGCGTCAGAGCGGGGCCTTTGGGGCGATGACTTCCACGCTTCTTCTTGGCCTGGCAGGATCTGCAGGATCTGCAGGATCTGATCATATCATGATGTCAGATAGGTTACCCTCTGGTAAACAAACATAGCTAATTAATGCTAATTATTGAGAATGGCCCAGTCGAAATAGTGGATTTACCCATTGAAAATGGTGGATCTTTCCATAGTTTTTTGTATGTTTACCAGAGGTTAAAAAAACTGGTGTTCTTCCCCAACAGCCCAACTCATCCCAACTCCAGTGCTGCTTCCGGGGAGCAGGTGGTTCCGGACGTTGTTCCAGTGTGGGTTCTGGGATGGTTGAGGTTGAGACTTGATAGCTGTTCACTGGCTGCTGTCACACTTTCCTACCACCTTTACTGTTGGGGATACCATCTGGGTTTTTCCAAGCAAGAATGGGAATTTCCATGAATTTCCTCCATATTGTTTCCAGATGAAATTGTCCAAGAATATCCAACCACAAGAAATATTGGCTTGGACTTGGAACTTGGAACCTCATTTTCTCCATTTCCTTGCCAGAGATTGACCGAGAAATCCTCCATTTCTGGAGAAAAAAAGGTCATGTCATACACAATCCTCCATTTCCGATGAACCCATAAATTAGTAAAGCAACAATCCAGCACTATAGATTGCTGGAATGCCCTAAAACATGCTGGATTCTGCTGGATCCTATTGCTTCACGAACATCAAATGGGTTCCCTTTACGAACCCACCAACCAGTCGTCCAGTCCAGTCGTCGCCTTCTGTGCGGCCTTCCATTCAGCCCGTTGCTCGGCGCGGGCCTTGCGCTTCAGCGCCTTCCGCGAAGGCGCGCCGTTGTCCTCGCGATCCGCGGCGTCGCTCTGGTCCGTGGTGCCAGGATCCATCGGCCTAGTGCCAGTGATTTCTTGGAGATTCCTACATACATATGCTGCATGTATACATATGTATATACATGTGTATAAGACATATTAGATGTATTACATCTATTTAGAATTTGTGTGTGTGTGTTTATGCGTGTATGTGTATATCTGTATACATATAAATCATATAATATAATATATATATATATATACATAGGTACGAAATATGTAGGTTTGAGTGTAGACATGTTTTAATTTGCGGTACGTACGTATGCCTGTTCTGTTCAGCTCTGATTTTATCAAAGATCTTGAGCCAGACTGCAAACGAGTGGAACGCAAGTGCCTGCCGTGCAGCAGTGTGGAGGTGCATCACAGCTGTGGAGACTGCAGAGATCCACAGAGCCTGCATTTCGGAGAAGAGTAGAAACCATAAACTGCCCTTCTGCTGCTCTTCCAGCTTTAGCAGTTGAGAGTCCTTGGAAAATGCTGGCTCAGATTTTGAAAAACAAAAAAACACGATCTGCGAAACAGCTGATAAATATCTTTCAATGAGAGGCATTGAAGGCTCAAACAAATCTGGGCGAACTTTGAGGGTTAAGGTAGTGATGGTAGTGGTCATGAATTGGTCATGAATTAGTATGAAAAAAATGGGGCGGTTCGGGGCACACGGTCGACCTGCCGAGAGACAATTGCACTCAGCCGCTCTTCGGCTGCCTCAATACCAGCGTTGGCCTTGGCATTCGACGTGCCCTGGTGACATCCCTCCTTGGGGTACATGGGTTACCCTCTGGTAAACTGAGATAGCTATCAAAAATTCCCACTGATCATAGATAAATCAACTATTTCTATGGCCATGTGAAATAGCTATGTAACAAATTACCAGCGGGTAACTCTTACATGAACTAACCACAATTCATGTGATTTCACCGAGCCAAATTCTGGGATGCGGGATGAGACCAACATCTCCCCCGCACCTCACGTCTCATCTGGGCGGAGACAGCAAAATCTTTGGCTTTTGCTGACTGGCTCTTCTTGTTCACATGGATGGCCTGGCCCGGATGCCCACGAAGAAGTACCAACCCTCGGTTTTTCCTGTGCCATCAAAGGTCATCAAAGGTCAATCAAAGGTCAAGATTGTGACCTTAAGGGTCCGAATCCCAATCAGCAGGTGAGCATTGATCAAGATGGATGACCAGGCAACACACCGTTTTTCCCGCACCATTTGGCCAAAAAATGCTATGGTTGGCAAGATGCGGGCTGCACAGCTCAAGTTTTTGGTTGAACCATGCAGCTGTGAGCGAGATACAGCATGTCCAGGTACGCGCAACAGGAGGGGTTGACAGGAATTTCCATGCGGCCCTAGGGCATCCAAAACACCTGCAGCTGACTTGTTGGATGTCTGAGCTTTCCAGCTATCCCCCCTGCGCGTTTGAATATTCCTGGCGAAGCCGATCAAGCATTCACGAAGGCAGCTGCCAATATCTGTGGGAGAGCTCCAGAGGGAGCCCATAAGCCCAGCCAGTTTACAAGGTGCAAGGATTTTTTCACTTGCATCAGTAAACACTTCTACCAGGACAAAAATATGAAATCATTGCAAAGCAAAACTGGATTACATGGATTCCTTAGTTCATCATGTTTGGGAACTGATGTTTTGATCTATTCGATGTGGATTTTTACATATTGTTTATTCTCATTCTCTGTGCAGTCGCATTGCATTGATCACTGCCGTCTCGGATCAGTCCCACGACTCGGGAGTTGCACAAAAGAAGTCCTCATTCTGTACCGCGTCCTGGTGACACGGTGACACTGGTCACGCGCCCAACGGAATTGGACGGAATTGAACGGAGATGCCGCTGTTCACATATGTTCAGATCAAAATAGCAGGTAAATTCATGTAAATTCATCTCCCCAAAATATCAGGGAAAACCCATGGGTTTTTGACCATCATCGAATTGATCTGCCCAGAATCCACGGATCTAAATCCCGACTCCTTTTAGGACCCGAGCTAGAATTGTGCGCATGTCTTCACAGAAAAGGTGATTTCACGTTGTCGAATGCTGTCTGCTTTGCAGGAGGAATCATGTAAAGCAACAAAAAATCAAGGATCGCTGGTTTGACAAACTACTGCAAACCATGCCTAGTCAATTCTGTTTGACACATCAATGCCTCCAATCTCAGCGCCACTGCCGAGCGGTCCTCCTGTTCTGCTATATCGGCACCTCCAGTGTGCACCTTCTATGGCATCGGGTGAAGCTACTCCAAAGCACGAGCCAGTTGGGAAGCAATGGTTCTGTGGTGCCATCTTGGCTCACTCATAGTAGAACCCATAGAATACCATACGGTAGAACACCATTATACACCAAGACTGCGCACTGCAAAAAAAATGATGGGAAAACCAAATACCCATTGTCAGATACCGCATGAAATATGCTTAAAATGCATATTATCCATAGACACGACAAGTCAAATCTGTGAAACCTTAGCATCAGCATGAAGATGAAAATAGTTGGTAAACGGATGTTCAGCCCTCCAAATATTCGGGTTTTTGGTGTTTCGAACATCCCCATATCAATCTTGATCGTGGCTGCGGCTAGACAACATCGGGTCTCACCCCTCCAAATTACGGAAAGGAGGCATTTTTGTGTGTCTTTTTTTGTCTTCAAAAAGCTCTGCAATGCAGCAAAAATGGAGGTGTGGTAAAAAAAAAGAAGTGGTTCCCCCCCAAAATCATCCACTTTTTTCAGCCACAAAAAATGTTGGGCATCCATTCATGGAACCTCCCATGTTTTTTGTCAAAAGCTTTCAAGATTTCACCAGAGACTCCCCAGACATCACCAGATCCAAGAGACCCAAGTTGAGATTCGGCCATCCCCGGTGACCCAGCGAAGTTGCCTGGGCCAATCCTTGGTCGAACTTGGGAAAGAATGGTTCTTGGGATGGTTGGGATGGTTGGGATGGTTGGGATACCACCTTATACCAGCTGGTCGAACTTGGGATGGTTGGGATGGTGATGATATGTGGTTAAAACAATGTCATTTTTACCACCCATGACTGGAAATGGTTGGGATACCGTTTATACCAGCTATTGCTATAAAGATAAAAATGGTGATGACTGGGGGATGGTCTATGAAATTCGTTTACCCACATTATGTTTGTTGGTTTTTTCGATTCGCCAATCTGCATTTCTTGTTTTTCGATGAAGCGCTGCGAGTGATCGCCAGGACATGCTTTGCCTGCATCGATAAATCTAGAGACCCCTGGCAGCTCAGGAAAAATCAATGAATTCAATCTTGGGGCAACAGAAATGGATAATCAGTTCTTTGTAAAAAAAACACACCTGTTCTTTTACTTGCCTGGAAAACCATGATGTTTCGCGAGAGGCTTTCCCAGTTGCAAAGACGAGCACTTGAAACCTTACCTAGCTATGCCTCTGGAGCAGACTCTTGATTGAACCAAGTCCTGCTGGTGTCTCCTGCAGTCGATATAGATATAGATAGAGATAGAGATAGGTAGAGATAGATAGAGATAAGTAGGTGTACATAGATACACACAGGTATACATAGATGATCATAGATGTACATAGATGTACATAGATTTACATCGATTTACATAGATGCAGCAATAAATGATGCTATAGATGGTATGCATGATGTCTATCTATGGCATATCATATCTATATACATATATATATATATATGACCCAGTGTCTGGTGCTCCCCCCTCCCCCCGAGATGGCGATGGTCCCTATATGTATCAGTAGGTTGTGATCATGTGTGTATACGTATGTAGTATGTGTATGTGCAAATGCATACAGCATGTATATGTATGTGTATATGCATACGCCTGTGTATCCCTCACTCCCCGTGGATGTGGTGGGGGGTGTTGGGGGGTGGAGGGGAGGGGTTAACCCATGTGGTGGGGGGTGGGCGACCAACCCACAAAAAAGAAGATTATGGGTTTTCGACGCTTTTTTATGGGTTGGCGAAGCTACTTGATCAAAAACCCAGTTTTGTTGACTAAAACCTGGTTTTCGGAGAAACTGACTGAAAACTCAAAACGAGCTTTTGATAGCTCGACTCGCTTTTCTCAGGGATTTGGTTGATGTAGTACAGTTCCCCCCTGATGGTCGTGCCGGGTCACACAGGTGGCGTCCAACACGGTGTTTCCGCATTGCCAGCCTCCACCAAAAGGCACCGGCCACATGGACAGCCTCAGACGAAGGAGGGATCTGGAAGGGCACTGATGGTTGATTCGAATGAAGGATACCAATTAGATGATACTTGAATGAATGACTAATGGGATGATACTAATCCTGTACTAATCCCCAGTCCAATCACTTCAATCTGATGATTTTTGAAGGCCGCCCCACTTGACCAGGACTTGATGTGATGTGAAACATCAGAAATCTTCGACCACTGGGACTTGATCATCCACTAAGTCAAGGCAGCGCTCACTGGAATCGCCCCTGGGCATGGCTCAATATTTAGGACTTGGACCACAGATCTTAGTCTATGTTTAGGCTAAATCATCCAATAATTGGGGTATATACCCCATTTTGGACCCATACCCAAGCGTGACCTACTTTGGAGCAAGTTGAAGGATGCTCTAGGCAACTCAAAAACTTTAGGGGCCCAAACTCCTCCCTCCAGTTTCTGGTCGATTTGAGGCTAACTGCTTTCCCTCACAATGATGGGCCCCAAATCCAACTATGTTCATTGGGTTGTGACAAACCATGAAAACTTGTGGATGGGATTTGATTCCGATGAAATAAAGACCCATTTGACAAGTAGTTCTCACTGTTTCCAGTCCATAATATTCACAAAACGCCCTTACAATCAGAATATCACAGGAAAACTCAGCTCTTCGTCCCGTTCCAGCCAAGCCAAAAATCATGAAATTCAGATCCTCCCGGGCTACAAATCCTGCCCCCTCCATCCCTTCCATCCTTTCCATCCCTTCCATCCCTTCCCTGCGAGCGACTTGATGTCAGGCCGGGGGGGACGTGACAAATGTGCCACCAGGATCTTGCAAAGCTCGTCTTCAAAACACACAAAGACCTGCCGGACAAAGAAAAGTGCCTCCCTGTTTCATCTTCTGCAACGAACAACAGAATAATCACTGGCTTCAAACGTAAACCACCTTGTTTGATCAGCTTGTTGATTCAGGGACATTGGACCATCCACTGTCCCAGGTCAGGACTTTTTCCGGAAAATCGACGGGGGGACATTGGCATTCTCGTCCTCGTGATGTTTCATGGTTAAACATGGTTAAAGAAACTGTATGTGTAAAACCAACTTTGATGGTTCCATGGGTTCCATGTCCATTTCGGGTATTGGTTTCCCGTCTCGATTTCCACCCAGCAAACACTTGACTTGCTGTGAGCAACATACCAAAAAAACACCAACCAACTGATCATCCATCATAAAACCTGGATATTCTTCTAAGCACAACCTCTTCCAAACAGTCCAAATAGCCAAATCATCCAAGTGATTAAACCATTTTGGCATTAAAACATATTAAAACAACCATTTTGTGACTTAGGGTTTTCCCAATTTTCAGAAACCTCATGACTCCAATCCCACCACTGTCCGTTTCGGCGCCTGGTTTCCCAAAGAATCCCGCCACTGGCCCTTGAAAATCTCTGCGCCTATCCCATTGGAAATCGATCCGGACAATCCATGGGTTTTCTTCACAAAATCCCAGAAAAATGTGAGCAAACCGATAGTTTATCCGATACCCCCTGGTAAGTTAACATAGACCCTGAAAATCGCCAATTGTTAATGGTTTCACTAGTCTTCCAACCCCGATGACTGCCAGGGTCGAACTATCCTATTTGAATGGATCACAAAATTTCCATGACAGCATCATATATCCTATCATATCCTATCATCAAAATCCCCACAGCATCACCAGCAGGCTCCTAAAGTGATCCGAGGGCAGGCCGACGAGGGGGTGGCCGCGCAGGCCACCGGCATCTGTGACTCCTCAATCTCCACAGTTGGAAGGGTTCATAGTAGGTGTGGTTCTTGAGTCCCAATGAACCAGTAGACTCAGTAGACAGTGTACGTCATGAACATTGGTGATATCCTAGTAGTAATGATATGTAGTTAACATAACATACCAATAGTATCCAATAGTGATATCAATGTTTTATCTAACATAACCCAGTAGATACGTACATACAGACATTCATACATGACATCATATCATATCAGATTACACCACATTGCGTCACACCGCACCACGCACTAACATACAAACATGTAAACATACCAAACATACAATCCTACCAACATATTGCAACACATCAAACATACCAAACATACAAACATACATTCATATGGTACATTACATTACACTCCATTCCATTTCATTACATGACATTCCATTGCATCACATTATCTATATTACATTACATGATTTACAATTAGATTACATTGCATTGAATTATGTTTCATGGCATGCCACTGCAATGCATTTCATTAGATTGTTCTACACTACATCATGCCTTATATCACCTTACATGTCATTACCTACAAACATACGTACATGCATACGCATATATATACACAAATATGAAGAAGAATACAAACATAAATGAAAAACACATGCAAACAAGCGCACAAACATACACATTCATAATATTCATAAGCCCACGTACTGTCACGTACATGTACATCGCATGACACTCCGTCACATTTCGCAACACCACAGCAAATCACATTGCTTACATTGTATTCATACAAAACACAACATACACCATGACACAACGAAACAAAACATACAAACACACAAACATGCATACATTACATACCACACACACAGACACATTGCATACGCGTTTTGCCCAAGATTTCAGGATATAAGTACAGGACGTCACACTAAATTACAGTGTACTGTTGGCTATTCTCCCTTCTCTCTCTCTCTCTCTCTCTCTCTCTCTCTCTCTCGCGTGCGCTTCCTTTCTGGCAAATTGCCGATTTTGCTCCCTTTTTCGCTTGCCTATCTTTTTCGTCTTTCTTCTCTATCTTCTTTTTCTCGTTTCTCCCTTTCCTCCTTTTTCCCCTCTTTCTCTATTTGTTATTTCTTCTTTCCATTCTTCCTGCCTTTGTTGTCTTCCTTCCTTCCTTACTGGGTCCGATTTTTTCGCTCCTCCAAACTTTTTCCACCAATTACGGTACAGTATTTCTTGATACCTATGCCAGGTGTTTACTGCGGCCCCAAATATCAGGGTCGCAAAATTGGTTTCGCTTGCGGTGCCATGAACTGAAGATCCCGCTACAAACTGAGGTCATATTTGGCTAGGAATGTTGAAATCAGCCCAACCGAAGTATGCCTTTTCAGACAGGTGTCCTCCAATTTTAGTCTAAACAAACGAAGAACAGGGAGTCCCGGAGGTATAGATTGAGGGACGCACATCTAGAATCAGGTGATCAGTGCTCTTGATTTTTGGCACTGTAAAGGAGCACCCTGATTTGACTAAGTCGCTGCGACCTCCGATGAGCTCCATTGTGCATCAGCAACCTGCCCAACATGGATTTCTGTGATCAGTTCCCTGTAAGGACCTCAGTTCCCTTGGTTTCCTGGTTGTCATGGCCATCCCCCAGAAGCATTTTGTGGGTGAAGCCCCCACCCATTTTTCCTCGACCACCCGCTGTTCCAATGTGCAACCAACCCCAGCCTGTGGGATACAAAGCTCCGCTAGCTGGTCGTATGTCTTGACCTCCATGGACTCCAGGAATCGGAAACGAACAAAACCCAAATGGGACAATCCAAATGGACACGAGATGCGGAACACGGCCCGCAGCCTTGAGATTCTCCGGGCTGTAAGCATTGACAGTCCCAGGAGTCCTACTCGGCATTTCTCCAGTCCGGAGCTCCCTTCCTGCAGTCTCCAAAGGGGCTCCTTCAGCAGGGAATCCGGGATACCAATGAATGACCCCAGATTAAAAAAGCCCTGGTTATTTACTGGCGGAGGGCGGAGGGTTATTAATCCTACCTCGTTTAAAAGAAACACCAGGCGGATGGCTCTTCCAGTTCCAAACGTTTTTTCGTTTTCCACCTCTCAGGTCCCAGCTGGTTGGTTGTTACCACTTGCACCCTGGGGTGTGATGCTCAAATCCATCTGTGTTGGGTGGTAATACACCGATTCTTGCTTAGATATCAAAGACGTACAGTATACATATACATATACATATACATATACATATACATATACATATACATATACATATACATAGACATAGACATAAACATAGACATAGACATAGACATACACATACACATACATACATGCATGCATACATACATACATCCATGCATACATACATACATACATTACATACATACATACATAGATAGATAGATAGATACATACATACATACATAGATAGATACATACATACATACTACCATACTATACCATACCATACCATACCATAGCATACCATACCATACCACCATACCATACCATACCTACCATACATACCTACATTACACACATTACACACATTACATTACATTACATTACATTACATTACATTACATTACATTACATTACATTACATACATTACATACATTACATACATTACATACATTCCATACATTCCATACATTACATACATTACATACGTTACATACGTTACATACATTCATACATTCATACATTCATACATTCATACATTCATACATTCATACATTCATTCGTACATACATACATACATATACACATGACATATGTATGTGTATGTATGTGTATATATATATATATATATATGCATGTGTGTGTATGGATGTGTATGTATGCGTATATATATATATATATATGTTTTTTATTTACAATGTAACTTGCATACATATATGCCTTGAAACGATAAGTTGTGAAACAAATGATGTTTGTCCTCCTGCAAAATGGTCTTCTAGGTGCGTTCTTTTGTGTACTTGCCGTGTATACCATTTCAAGTTCGCATACATACATAAACATCCCGCCGGACCGGAAACCGTGCCCATAAAACGCACGTTTTTAAAAAAAATGGTGATTATTTTACCACAGTGCCGTGCTGATTTGATGATTGGAAATCCTGGAAAAACTTGGGGCGCGCTTTTTGGCTTTTCAGCGTCATCGCTGCAACGCATGCACCGTTATCAGCTGGCAGTCAGCATTCTTGTGAATGCATCTCCATTGCCAAGCTCTAGCATACACCATCAAGAGGTCACTTTTGGCACTCAAGTTGCTGGGAATTGACTTTTTCATCAGATTCCACATAGAACATGTAACGTAGTAAGCGATCCCAGAGATCTCAGCAGCGTAGCAGCATGTAACGTAGTCAGTAAACGATCCCAGAGATCTCAGCAGCGTAGCAACATGTAACGTAGTAAACGATCCCAGAGATCTCAGCAGCATGGCAATATATCATGTACGAAGTACAAGGAACGTTAACATGCCCCCCCACCCCACCCCACTCCACCCCACAATCGCGATATTCAAAAACGTGCGTTTTACGGGAACGGCTTTCGGTCCGCAGGCATAAACATACATGTTGTATGTGTATATATATATACATACACACATACATACATACATTACATTACATTACATTACATTACAATACAATACAATACATTGCATTGCATTGCATTGCATTACATAACATAATATAACATTACATTACATACATACACACATACAGTACACACATACACGTGTGTCAAAAAAAAACATATATATATATATAGCAACATATATACATGTATACACGTTTGCGTGTATACATACATACACCTGTAGGCGTTATTCATATATTTGCTTAAATATATATATATACACACACATTCGTACGTATATATATATATTATATATATTAATATAAATATAAATCTTTGCATCTATTCATATACACATCTATACATATATACATTTATCTGTATATATATACATATGTACATATTTACATATGCACAATTGTACATAGATACAAGAACTGTCAACCTTCTTCAGCAGAAACACCCCGCCGACCAGGTGTTTCAGTCAGCAGCACTTTAGAAAATCTTTAGACACAGTACATACGGTATTCGAAGAGCGACATATTCTGGCTGGTGGTTTCAACCCCTCTGAAAAATATGAAAGTCAGTTGGGATGATGAAATTCCCAATATATGGAAAAATAAAAGCCATGTTCCAAACCACCAACCAGCTATAAGTATAGATTATAACCCCAGTTATAAGTGGAAATCCACCCCACTTATCCCAGGAAAAAAACACACCAAACAGTATTCATACATATCCCCCATCATATTCAGACCTCAGAGATCCCCACGATTTGTCTCCTGAAGGGCTCAAAACTGGCTGCCACTGCTGCCAGTGCTGCCTCTGCTCGGGCATGGCTTGCATCGTCATGGCCTGTGAGCTCTCGCCAAGTTGTACTTACATACATCTATATACATGTACGATGATGATCAAGAAATGAACCATAAATATAAAATATACACAGATAGAGACAAAGGTAGAGGTGGAGGTACTGGTCCATAACGAGATAGTTTCAGGTAGAGAATGAGATAGAGGTAGACAAAGTAGATAGAGTAAAGAGAGAGAGAGACATAGATGCATAGATACGTAGATACATAGGTACATTGGTACATTGGTATGTACGTACATAGGTACATAGGTACATAGAACATAGATACAGAGATACATAGATACAAAGGTACATAGGTATATAGATTCATAGATTCATAGATAGATAGATAGATAGATAGATAGATGGATAGATGGATAGATGGATAGATGGATAGATGGATAGATGGATAGATGGATAGATGGATAGATGGATAGATGGATAGATGAATAGATGAATAGATGGATAGATGGATAGATGGATAGATGGATAGATGGATAGATACGATAGATAAGATAGATAAGATAGATAAGATAGATCAGATAGATAAGATAGATAAGATAGATAAGATAGATAAGATAGATAAGATAGATAAGATAGATAAGATAGATAAGATAGATAAGATAGATAAGATAGATAAGATAGATAAGATAGATAGATAGATAGATAGATAGATAGATTAGGATAGGATAGGGTAGGATAGAATAGGATAGAATAGGATAGGATAGGATAGGATAGGGTAGGGTAGGAAAGGATAGGATAGATAGGATAGGATAGATAGGCTAGGATAGATAGATAGGATAGGATAGATAGGATAGATAGGATAGATAGGATAGATAGGATAGATAGGATAGATAGGATAGATAGGATAGATAGGATAGATAGGATAGATAGGATAGATAGGATAGATAGGATAGATAGGATAGATAGGATAGAAGGATAGATAGGATAGAAGGATAGATAGGATAGATAGGATAGATAGGATAGATAGGATAGATAGGATAGATAGGATAGATAGGATAGATAGGATAGATAGGATAGATAGGGTAGATAGGGTAGATAGGATAGATAGGATAGATAGGATAGATAGGATAGATAGGATAGATAGGATAGATAGGATAGAAAGGATAGATAGGATAGATAGGATGGATAGGATGGATAGGATGGATAGGATGGATACGACAGATAGGACAGATAGGACAGATAGGATAGATAGGATAGATAGGATAGATAGGATAGGATAGGATAGGCTAGGACAGGATAGGATAGGAAAGGATAGGATAGGATAGGATAGATAGGATAGATAGGATAGATAGGATAGATAGGATAGATAGGATAGATAGGATAGATAGGATAGATAGGATAGATAGGAAGATAGATAGATAGATAGCAAGATAGATAGATAGATAGGTAGGTAGATAGGTAGATAGATATAGAGATAGATATAGAGATAGATATAGAGATAGATATAGAGATAGATATAGAGATAGATATAGAGATAGATATAGAGATAGATAGAGATAGATAGAGATAGATAGAGATAGATAGAGATAGATAGAGATAGATAGAGATAGATAGAGATAGATATAGATAGAGATAGATAGATAGAGATAGATATAGATAGAGATAGAGATAGAGATAGATATAGATAGAGATAGATATAGATAGAGATAGAGATAGATTGATAGATTGATGGATTGATAGATTGATAGATAGATTGATAGATAGATTGATAGATAGATTGATAGATAGATTGATAGATAGATTGACAGATAGATTGATAAATAGATTGATAGATAGATTGATAAATTGATTGATAGATAGATAGGTAGGTGGATAGATAGGTAGGTGGATAGATAGGTAGATAGGCAGACAGGCAGACAGGCAGACAGGCAGACAGGCAGACATGCATCCATCCATGCATGCATCCATCCATCCATTCATACATCATGCATGCATGCATGCATCCATCCATACATCCATCCATACATCCATCCATACATGCATACATTTCAAAAACATATATATATATTATATATATAATTATTTACATGAATACTAAAAAACTTGACATGACAGGACAAGACACGACACCCTATGGCATCACACTGCACCTCACCAGATTTCACTGCATTCAGTACATTCCACGACATTGCATTGAATTACATGCTAGGGCACTACATCAAACCAAGCCCGTTGCACACGCTATGTTGCAAACTGTACATATGTTGGCATATTGTCTACCTTCCTTGGACCATTTCCAGGATTCGAGGCTTCAACAGGAATGGATAAACAAAGCTTCAACAGGAACCGGCCTCTGTCACGGACGCGTGGCCGCGCCGAAATGAAATCCCTGTAAGTATGCAGCTAATTGCAGCTATGCCCAGCTATGCTTCAGTTTTCATTGTCTGCTGGAGTCAGCTGTATCAACTGTTTGTGTCACTGGTTCTTTGCCCTTTTTTCTACTGAAGCCATTGGAGATGACAAGGGCGCGGAGTTGCCGCAACTGGCAAGACAGGTGAACGCTTGGAAAAAAATGTGGAGATCAGCTTGCTTCGAAGGGTCCAATTTGAAATATAGATCACATATGATAACATAGTACCAACAGGATCTAAGAAGGATCTAAAAGGTTCCAATCGAATCCTCAAAGAAGATCAAAAAGGCGGTTTTCTCGCTCATCACTGGACTCTTTCTGAAACGAGCCGCCCGAATCACTGGAGATCCCGCCTTCTCGGTGTTTTTCAGCTCCCTTTCAGCCTTTTGTCGCTGCGGAGCGGATCCCGGTGGTTGAACAAGCGGATCGAACAGTGTTACTGTAACGTTACTTGTATTTCCCCGGCTAACCATTCTCCGGCTAACCACATTCATCATTTGAGCACCAAGTGATGTTCAATCAGGTGTTATCATTCAACAAAAACAGAAAATATCTGGGCATCCCGCTAAAGTAGGGAAGAAACTTGCAGGAGAAACAGTCTTCGAATCATTCACCCTGGGGGTCTCCTCAAACCCCGGCCTTCAAGTCAAAGATTAGCTGCTCACAGTCGGTGCCTGTCCTGCATTTGCTCTGGAAAACCTTGGGGTGCTGAGATTCCTGGGTTACTTTTCCGCAAAGAATAGTATGGTTTTTACGTTTTTACCTCGAAAAATTGGATTGTGGAACCCGGGATTGAACCACCGAGGCTCAAACCACGGAAAATCTCTGTCAATTTGTTCCTAAAAGCTTCTGATTCGTCACGTAGTGACGTAGTGCATATATATCAGCCATGCTGAGGGAAAGTTTCATGTGACATTTCAATTTACCCAGTTTACCGTGTTACCATGAACTGATCAGGTTTCAAACTGCACCCCGCTCCCAAGATCAAGGTGCGGCAGTTGCAATGTCGTGCCACCTGGACCGGAGAGGGCAGCGGCCCCCCAATTTTATTGGATGCCAGAGGAATTTCGAAGTTCTCTTCCCAGCGATAAATTCCATGCTGACCCTTTCTCAATTGGGGATGGGTCAAAACCCTGGTACCTAGTGAACCCCAAAATAGCCGGTAAATGGATGTTCATCCCACTAAAAATGTATCTATAGGTATTGACCCATACCCAATTCATCCTAATTGCATGTCTTGCGGAAAATTGCATCCGATGCCAAAAAACTATCTCCGTTCCCAGCCTTCAGAGGACAAAAGCTTCAAAGCAGCTTCCACAGCCGATCTGGCCTCTGTTCCTGAACAAAGCTCCGTGGAGCGAAAGTTGCTCCGAAACTCTCAGAATGCGAAGCTTGGTTAAAACATGTTAAAACCCTCTTGAGAAAGGAAACATAACTCAATAATCTCAATAACTATGCTGTTTTCACTATTTTTTCTGGCTGAAACTCCGGAGGATCGATGCTAGAAACGCTAAGAATCAACCCAGATTTGGGCGAAGCAAAAATCCAGGTTTTTCTGAACATCTCCTTGTTGCAATCTGAACAAAAGGATACCACCGACTGAACCTGGGTGAACTTTGATCTGCCTCCTGAACCCAAGCTGGCCTACCATGTCTGCTCGTCCACATGCAAGATTGGTCGTTTTGTGTCTGTGTCTGTGTGATAGTTGCGTCCGTGTCTTCAGGTGCTCTGTTGCTGACTTCTTGTGCCCAAATTTAGCCAGATACAATCTCAAGAGTAATTTTGCCTTGTCAAAAATCGGTATCAAATGGTATCCACAGAATTCAATATTTGAATTCAAAGATATCATTAAAAACAAAATCAATTGTGGGCCCAATGCCAAATTGAAAGAAGCACAATTCTGCACAAAAATCTTGGGCCAAAAAGCTGTGATATCAAAAAACAGCTCCAGGCAACCGCTCGTCATGGGAAGTCTCCCTGAAAAATCTGGCGGCCGGTGGGTGTCGGGCGCGGCCCTAGATCATCCCGATGACTTAGCAAACCCATGGTGACTGGGGATCCCCCCAACGACACCCATCTAACCCATTGGAAATCCATTTCGGTATGAAGTCAGGAGCTTTGTGGTTTCCCTTGTCCTTGCTTTCACAGATATTTCCCTGCCATCCCCCCAATTCCCCGAAAAGAAACTTCTGTGTACAACTCACCCCTTTGTAATCTTGTAATCCCTTCTTCCTAAAAAAAAACGTATCCCCAAACGAAGAGATCGAATACGAAACCAGGTTTAGCACTGCAGGGGAGAGGGAGATTATGATATGGGATTATTGAACCTCCATGAACCTCCTATATTCTATTATATTCTGCTGGTTTTTGAATAGCACAAAACCGTGGATTCAACCAGTGACAGCAACCACATCTTTGCGCGCGTCGACATGCACCAAATCTCTGGAAACCTGCCCTTTGAGTCTTTCTCCAAGGCCAGGTCGTGAAACGGAACCAAGACGAACCAAGACTCAACCGCATTTCGAGCAGACATGTTTCCAGGTCGGAATTTATGTCTGCCAACTTCACCAAAAGAGTGTGATCATCATTTCATATCATTTCACCATTCATTTCCTGAGCCAAAAAAAAGGCCATTCATTTCACCATTCATTTCACCAAAAGAATATCATTTTAGGCCTTTCTGATGTTCATCATTTCCTGACCCAAACCTCGCCGTCGTTCCACATCAGTTCACCACCTTTGGGATTGACCTCTGCGGTATAGAGCGTCCCTCCAATGCTCATGGAGATCTGGCCAGAGAGCGCCAGGAATCACCATGGCACCATGGGTTTGAATCATGTTGCTCCAATAGTTAACCTCTGGTAAACATACAAAAAACGATCGAAAATCACCGTTTTTAATAGGAAAATCCACTATAAATCTGGTAAACATACAAAAAACGATGGAAAATCACCATGTTTAATGGGACAAATCACTATTTCGAATGGGGCATGTTCAATAGCGAACTGTTAAATGACCGGAGGGTAAGTGTGCAGTATGCCATAAAAACTGCCATCTCAGGAAACGATGATGTAGATGTTCCAAACATGCAGCATGACATTTTGGAGTAATGTGGGCAATGCCAACGAAAATTGTTTAACCCCCAATGTTGGTCTATTACGGTCAGCAACAAAAAGACCCAGCCGCCAGTCGCGCCGCCATCCAGTCGTGCCTGCTTCGCTCCAGAGACGGACAGTTCTGAGGGATCGGATCGAAAGTCAGGAGCCCAGGTCAGAACATTGCTCTGAATCTTGGCCTCACAGTTCCAATTCCAATTCGAATCCACGAAGAGCGAGCTTGCTTAAGGAACACTTCAGCTTGCTTGGAACACTTCAGGAACAGTGTGAAAAACTTGAAAAAGGAAACTTACCACACATTGACATATTAACAGTTATTAACATATGTGATTTATTTTGACTGGTACTGGAAAACCGGACATTCCCTTCAATCAAACGAGCTTCTCTACACACCGAGATCGAAGATGTGAATGGAATGGAAAACCCTGGCGGCTAAGAGCCTGACCATAAACTTGGAGTCTTCTTTGCGACAATACACACCTTCTAACCTGTGAACGAATGTTGAACGAATGCAACATTCATTCAAATGCCCAGCAAAAATGTTGCGCATTGCTCTGAGAAGCGCACTGGTCCCAGAACGAAACGGGTGCATCCCCTTTCCCTTTCACTACCACCTCAGTTTGATGTGTGCGTCTGTGATTTTACACACAGTGCTTCATAGGATTTCCCAGCTGGAGCCCAGCTGGAGTGTCAGTGTGATCATCCCCCGAAAAAATCACTGGTATAACCCCCCAACAAATCATTCATTCACCGGGGTTATACCAGCACTCACATCGCTCGCGAGCTAGGCGACCGACCACTGAATCCTGAGCACGGTCATCCAAGGCCCACGGAAGTAGAGATTCTGTTGGTTCGTCTCAGTTTTGACCTTGTTTGGGCCACCTTTGTAAACCTTCTGATTTCACTAACCCTTCATATCCCTTCATAAATCATGGTGTTCACTATTCATAAACCATTTTTACTATGCCATTTTTACCATGCCATTTTTACCATGCCATGGGCTGACCATCTCAAAATCACACTTCTCCAAGGCTCCTGTGCCACTCCGTCCATCTCGAGTGGCTGAAGAGGTAAGTTCCTGTGGCGAACGCTTCAAGGATTGAAATCAGCAAAATCGCTGGGATTTATGGATTGTTTTAAGCTGTAAAAAGTCTTTTGAATTTTGAATCATGGGTCAACATTTTGAAACCATCCCCAAATAGATAAAACCATGGACCAGTATAGGGTCTTCTTGTATTTGACCATCCAACCTTTTTTGGTCACCAAAACGCGGAAGATCATGTTGGGTGGTGGTGGAAACAAAAGCCGAAGAACACAAACAAAGAAGTGAAAAATGATTTTAAAAAAATTGGGCACCAAGCATTTTAGGGCAGTCACTGCGCCTGTCATCTTCAGTGTTTTCACAGCAGCAACTTAGAGGCTGCCCCATGGCGCTGCCACGGCTGGGACCAAAGGTCAGACTGCTTTGAGTCCACTGCGGATTCTTCAGTTTCACCATATAACCATAGTCACCAGCATAGTGAGAAAAAGAAAATGAATAATAAAAAAGATCATCATCATCATCATCAGCAGCAGCAGCAGCAGGAACAGGAGCAGGAAAAGGAGCAGGAACCGGAGCAGCAATGCTCATCTTGATCATCAATGTCCTCATATTCTTCACCATGTCCCTCATCATTGGTAGAGACATCTCATGGCAACAGCAGCTGACGGCTCAGCTTTTTCACGCCATCCAAACCCCTCGGCTCGCCATGGGCTTGCTGGGATGACCCCTTAGTGGTGCCATGGCCCCTTGAGTGCTCGCTGCCCTCAGTTAAGCGAAGTCTGACAGGAACTTTGCATCAGCATTCCGCCATCCCAAACATGAGCATCGTGTAACAACTTGCTGGGTCGAAACAGCTGCTTGAAGAGATGATAGGCTGACAGTTGCCACTCTACCAGGGCAGACTTGTTTTGGAGGAGCCGCACCAGAGATGGACTCCACTTCTTTTCGTGAAAAATATCCTTCTCCACCAGAACTATGTCCTTTCGTGTGGCGACAAACTCTACGATCCTCAAGGGCGATCTTCACCTTATATACATAATATACATTTATAGATATGAGGACATATACTATATATAGGGTTTAAACATTTTAAAAAACTAACATATGAATGAATACATACATACATACATGCATGCATGCATGCATGCATACATACATACATACATACATACATACATCATTACATTACATTACATTACATGACATGACATGACATGACATTACATTACATTACATTACATGACATGACATTACATTACATTACATTACATCATTACATTACATTACATTACATTACATTACATTACATTACATTACATTACATTACATACATACATATATATATATAATTATATAATTATATAATTATATATATTATATATTATATATTATATATTATATATTATATATATTATATATTATATATTATATATATTATATATATTATATATAATATATATTATATATATTATATATTATATATATTATATATATTATATATATTATATATTATATATTATATATTATATATTATATATTATGTATTATGTATTATGTATTATCTATTATCTATTATATATTATATATTATATATTATCTATTATATATTATTATATATTATATATTATATATTATATATTATATATTATATATTATATATTATATATTATATATTATATATTATATATTATATATTATATATTATATATTTTATATTATATATTATATATTATATATTATATATTATATATTATATATTATATATTATATATTATATATTATATATTATATATTATATATTATTATATATACATTTAGGGTTTCGAACATAAAAAACGAAATTACCCCCCATGTCCTTGTAAAGCTCGCTGTCCAGACTATTCGCCTCTTCTGAGATCACCGTAAAACCCAAGCTAAGCAGCTGTGCCAGACGCACCGTCTCTAAAGGTTTAGTCTCCAAGGGCTGATCACGATTGCACGCTTGGTGGATGTTCAGAAAGATCACATTTTTCAAATTTCGGCCCAGATTCCTCCAGTCTTCCATGGTATAGACCTTTGGATAACCCTTGGCACCCCCTTGAGGAATTTTTTTCAGCTCATGTTTCCGGAAATATTTCAAGGACTGCAATTTATCCCAACATTTCTGCCGAATCGGGCCAAGTCGACCAATAAAGTACCACTGCAGTGTGGCAGGATTCATACTTTGAGCTCTCCTCATCACCAGCTGATCATTAGTTGTTTCATCCGCTTCGGTGGGAAGAAACCCGGGCGGAACGTAGCGTACCAAGGGCGCCTTTGGAGTGTTTCCCCTGGTGTACTCCCAAACTTCACACACTGAATCCTCCAGTGGAGATAACGATGCATTGGGCCACTCTCTGGGTTCCACCTGATACCAGATGCAATAGGTTCTGTTGGGAATCATCTGTGTTCGGCAGCGGTTCATGAAAGTCGTGGAATTCAAAGTACCAACGTAAATGATGACATCACCTGATCTGGGCATCACAGGGTACTTGAAGATGTCACTCTTTGTCTCCGGGAGTACTTTGATAGTGGTGTAGCCACATTCTTCCTCTCTGCTTTGCAAGCCAGTGACGAGGGACTGCGTGATCGGCGCATACATCAATTTGAGTCTACCATCTTTCCGTTCAGACTGAATCACAAAAATATTGTAGGAATCATCTGGGTCGCAACGAATGCCCTTGAAACAGCAAGTTTTCGTACTTTCCAGACTTGCACGTGCCTTAGTAGCACCATGATGGAAAACATGATTCAACAATGAAAGAGAAACCATTGGGGTAACCCCATGGACAACACGATTTTGGGACAACGACGCAACGGCAAATCTGAATATGTCCTGAAGCAACACATCACAAAAAACATACATGGCGCTGTCGAGTTTCATTTGGCACTTCGGGAAGTGGCGAGTTGCCCCAAAGTTGTCGATTTACTTCAAAAATATTGCTGCAAATAGAGAGAGCCAATCCAAACAATACGACGTACAAAAGTCCACGCCGCAAGGACACCATGGCACGAGCTGTGAAACGGCCATGTTCTCAATATCCAAACCAATGCACAATGAAGTGAAATTCCGTGCATCAGCAGAACGAAAAATTGGATTAGTATTAGTTGCTGTCCATCAAAAAAATGCTGAACATGTGCGAATCATGATTTTACCGATGGATTTTTTTTTCGAATGTTAAAGGCAGTATTAACCACATTAAATCAGGACATTTTTGTTTGGCCTGCTGGGTTTCACGTGCTGTCCCTTGCTCAAATCCATTCAAGTTCCCCCAATCAATGCCCTCAATTTGGTTAGTTTTCGTTTTTTTCATGCCTGGCATTCAAAATATCAAATTGCGGGCCTTAAATGCATGCAAACACAGGGGAAATCACAAAATTTCAAACGTTAAGTTGCAAATGGATTCCAGGTTTTGAGAATCAAACATCAGTGTTTGCAATCAACCAACGATAGAACGTGAACGAAAAGAAAAAATAAAAGAACTTGTTCTGGACAAACGTTTTTGAAACGAAATATGTAAATGCAAATCTTTTTGGAACCGAAAGCGCCTCAAACATATGAGATGATTTGGACATGTGGCAATTGACATGTCACTGCTTTGAACTACCTTCCATGTATGCACAACTGACAGGATGCAAGTGCCGTACAATATTTGCACCCCGCCTTAACTCTGAAGCTTTGCTTGAGAGTTACTGCCTCTAAATCCCTTAGGACTAGTGTGAGTCCATCGAGTAGCTTCTATTGGGATTTCTTTGAAAAATAGCGGCACTAAAGCCAATGGTGAGAAGTTTGTATCTCACCCTAATGACTTTCTTCTTTTGGTGCCTTGTGAATTTTGAGTTTTCCTAAAACTCCTGCAAATCTCTTTCATCTTCCAGTCGTTCTTCATGTCCTGGGCCATAGTGGATGTTGGCCCAGTCATCTGGATCTGAAACTTCGCATTGTTCACTGTTTCTGTATCGATGTAGACGCTGTGACTGCGTCTCACTCATGGGCTCATCTGAGTCATCCGGTGGCTCTGGTGTTCTGAAGGCCTCTGCAAAGACTTTCAGCAAGTCCATCACGACCTCCAACTTTCCAAGTTCCAGCAGCTTCACCAGACATTTGCAGATGTCAACATGGCTGTTGATCATCAACTGTTTCTCATCATCTCCCATTCCAGCTGTAGGAGATTCATCATCGTCTGAGAGTGTGTTCTCCTCAGCTAGGGATTGCACAATTCTGTTGCGGTCGTAGGATCCCGATGTGGGAAGATGGCACAGGCATGTTTCAAGCCATCTTTGGATTTGGCTATAGCGCATGTAGCCACCAATGTTTCCCGCTGCCTGCATCTTTCGAAGCCTTCTGCGCGTTCTGGCCAAAGTCCATGTCACAAGCCCTTCAACGCTTGTGCTCTCGTTTGTCACCTGGGGCTCCACATTGAGGTTCAACATGTCAGGCGTGTGTGGTGCCTGAACAGTGTATCGTTGATTCATGTTGTAGAGCATGTACCATGAGTATCCAGCAAGCAACATTGTCCATGTCATCAGAAATGCAAAACTGAACCAAGAACCATCGGTTGATGTCGATGTCGAGGAAAAGTGTGCAACCTTGTAGTTGCATCGACATGACACTTTGCAGTGCGACCATTGGTGCACGGCCAGCTCTTGCTCTTTGGGTCCTTGTTTCTTCAGTTTCTTCCATGTCCTTGCTTGGACTGCTCTCATGGCTGCTGAGATCATCTATGGTGTTCAGCATCTCAGTTGCCTGCTCTCTTTCTGAATCATTTGCGGCCCCGACAAAGTTCATGAAGTCAGCTAACAAAGCTCGACGTTGTCCATAGGCTTGTGTCCTTGCCTCATTCCCAGAAATCAATGCATCCTCGAACCGCCTGTTGCATCTTTCAAACAACCAATCGATCAGACCTTCAGGAGAAAATGCTGGAGGCTCGTCTGTGTCCTCTGTCATGCATGATGCGACGCTTGCTGTGTCAACGTCGTCATCCATCATCGAAAAATTGTATCCAAAACTTGGGTCGTCCTTAGTGCCCCTGTTGCTCTTGGAGCACTGCGACATCCAGAAGAGGTACATGCCAAGCAAACCAACCCATGTTGCAGTGAAGACATACGGTATCTCCATCAAGTCGCTGGTCATGGCTTCACACCCCTGTAACTGGAGAGTCAGTAGGCTCAAGGCGCTAATAAAAACTCGAAGTTGTGAATCTCGACCTGAATTGGATGAAGTGCTTTGTTGGATGTGCCTGAAAATTCTGCCGGGATCTTCTGCTCCTACGAGTTGATGCTGAGTTGTGTTCCAAAGTCCAAACAGACACATCAATGATTCCAACCTTGCTATTGACAGTCGTTTGGTCGACACATCAGCTGGATTGATTGTTCCCAAAACTGCCTTGACTTGAAGCATCTTTTCACCTACCAAGTTCTGGAGCCAGAGAACCCTACAACTCAAATGTCTCAAACGTCCAACCCCTTTTCGTGAAAGAACTCCCCGTGCAGCTGATGAGTCCAAGTACAAATACATGAGAATGCGTACTTGGAGTACCCAACGAAGAATGGTTCTGATGAGGATGGCATCCATGACAGCTGAAGCGGCAGCATATGTTTCAGACTCGGCGCTCGAGAGTGACACGATCTTTTGAGTCCTCGAGGAAGAGTAAACAAGACATCCTCCATAGAAGATTGCACCACCAGAGACTGATCTTCTGGTGTTTCGATCAGCAGCCCAGTCTGCATCGCTGAAAATCTCAAGCACAGGCTCTTCACACTCATAGCCACGTAGAAGGCCTGAGTGCATGCCTTTCCACTTCAGAGAGACATATTGGTCAGCATGACCTGCCATGTAGCCAACCAAATGTTTCAAAACAACCATCGCTTTCTGTGTGGGCTTCGATGCACAGGTTGAGAGGTATCGGATCACATATTGGCACTGTGGTAGATCTGGAGAAAGATACAACAGAATCCCAACGCAGGATCGGTATATTGAAGCATCATGAGGTTTCAATTCCTCTATGTTGTCTGGAGTCTCAATTTCACTGTGACCAGGAGAACGTTTGTTCTGCAATCGCTTTGACAGTTGGAGCAGCTTGCACAATTGGTCCAAATGCTTGGGATGGATGTGAATCACCATCCTGCCATCATCGAGAAGTTGATGCGTCTTCTTCAAAAACGTCACCTCATCACCTGGTCCAGACATGATTTCAATCGAAATTGTGTACTTCGCTTGCAGTGAAGGGATCAACTCTTCCAAGACAGTCTTTCGAGCACCTACAATGAGAATGTCGTCAATGTGCACCAACATCAAACAATCACCCTTGCTTGAGCGCAGCATCGATGGGTAAGCTTCATTTTCAACCATCTTCAAACTGGAGTTCCCAAGAAATCTCACCAAATCCTTGTGCCAGAGTAAACTGCCATCGCGCTGTCCTGGCAAAACTCTGCCAAGGCTGTATGAGATGGAAGTCCCATGTGCACTTGACTCGTGTAGGCTGTTCCTGTTCCACTGTCAGAAACGCATCCTTCACATCGATTGCAAGCATCAAAGTCTCCTGATGCTCCCTCAAAGCCAGAAAACAAATGGGGAGAATCCTTGTGGCAATGTTGGACGAGGCCGGTGAAAACAAGGCTTCACGGTCAGGTTGTAACCATGTGTACTCTCTTGCCACAAGTCTGCTTCTTCTCAACCAAATTGCGTTCCCATCTTGATCTTTCTTTTCTCGCCATGTGCGCACAAAACGAGTGCTCAAACACTTGGCATCAGATGGCAAATTGTCCTCAAGAAGCACGTTGAGTCCTGAGAGACGTTCAACCTCGACCCTGTCTGCAATGCTGTCGAGTCTCTGCAATTCCTCCGCAGTGAGTTCTGGTTCATGTGGAGTATATGGATAGCTAAGCTCTTTCATGTTGTCACTCAGCTCATTGATGGGCTCATACGGATCTTCTTCCAAGCTCAATTCATGTTGCAGCACAGTGTCAAAGTCTTGCTCTTGCAAAGAAACGTCAGGTTCGATGTCCAGATGTTCGATCTGGCGCAACTGTCCAAGCAAATTGACACTACCTGGACCATCACCATGTTTGGCAACCTTGTTGGGTGACATCATGTCCTCAATGGGTGTGTCATCAAGTACATCACGGCCATGTTCAGATTGTGGAGTTTGTGGCACAACATCTCCATGTGGCGATGAAACATCATCACCTGTGTGCAAACGTTTGGAATCACCACCTGTTTCACTATGGTCTGTGCTGTGCTTTCCAGAGTGCTGCAAATCTGACGGCCCTGAACCAGCATCTTGCTGCATATCAGAACCTGAGGCTCGTTCAGCCTGTGTGGAAACTGTGGCACCTTTAACATGCTCAACACCAATTGCAGGGGTTGCACTTGCAACGTCCCCCGCCTCTGCCGAAATGGCTGCGGCGTCAACATCCTCATATGGGTGTGCCCTGGCATAATCACGTACTGCCAGTGCATCTTTGTCGCCCAAATTGAGTGTGGTGCCAGTTGCAACACCTGGAGGCAATGATGACCTTCTCGTGTAAATCAAACGATGTCCCAAATTGGCATAGCCATATTTTCCATGGTGCAGCTGTGATCTCACCAAGGAATTCCAGTTGAAATGATTCAGGAAGTCTTCGGATGCTTCGTGTGATGAAAATGCCAGTGGGAGTTCCAATGATGTGACAATCGTTGGACATGGTTTTGCTGAGCCAGATACCCTTGGTCCACTGTGGCAAACCCTTCAAGCTTGTCTTGAGGTATCCAAGCACCGTTTCTCCATACATGGCAACCTTTCCAGGGTAAAATCGACCTGTTGTTCTTTCATAGCTCGTCATTGCATGCTTCACTGAGAAATGATTGTGCAACCAAGCGCTGTGAACAAGTGCCCATGCATAAATTGGGTGTAAGCATCCAAAGATAGGGCCCTTGCAACCAGTAGCTTCCTCGATCTGAGAGACGAGAAGATTGGCTTTTGACCTCAAAACGCCAACCATTCCTTCTGCAGCTCCATTGGCTTGGTGATCTCCTGTAGGAGCGGGTTCTGA